TATATATATATATATATATATATATATATATATATATATATATATATATATATATATATATAAATGTATGTATATGTATAGATACATATAAAAATGATAAAATGTCACGGCACAAAGCCTTGCATTGCATTCTCCGATTTACATAAAAATAGTCTATGTACGATGAAAAATAATAAGTGGGAAAAATGTGTCTTGTTCTTTCTAGTTTTCTTACTGTATGTTTATTTTCTCGCTTTTTTCTCTTTGTTTATTTTTTTCTATTCCCGGTTTTCTCGATATTGCTCATGTTTCGAACGAAGGCACCGCCACTTAGGCTGGGAATTACCTGGATGCGGTTCGAGAAGCACTGTGAGGTCGCAACAATTGGAGGTTCGAATGGGGAAAAAGGTTCGGTTTCGGATAATAAAATTTGTGTTCTACGAGAAAGAGAAATAGAAAGAGATAGATAGAGAGATAGATAGAGAGATAGATAGAGAGATAGATAGAGAGATAGATAGAGAGATAGATGGAGAGATAGATAGAGAAATAGATAGATAGATAGATAGATAGATAGATAGATAGATAGATAGATAGATAGACAGATAGAGAGAGAGTTTCGCCGATCGATAATGCAAGTGCTATCGATTCAGGGTACTTCAGGGCGAATAATAGAGAGCGAGAGAAGTGTTCTCTTAATTGGTATGCAAGCCTTAAGAGCTTATACACGCTGCTCTACTGTACTGCCGTGGCACTAAGCTAACGTTACTTTAGACGAGAATCAGAAAAAAAGTTACGATCAAAATTCCAAAAGAGCTCGAAAACTCGAGTAAAAAGTAACAAGCTACGACGGTCGCCGACGTCTCGGGATTGGCGAACGCTAACGTTAAAACTCTCTACGTTTTAAGGTCGCTGCCAGAATAAGAGCAGAGTAAGTACAGAATTGTTTCTATGGAAGTGCCTGAGAGAAAGATCACTACAGAATATATAAATACGGGAGGTCCTAGGAGTATGTAGGCGCTAAACTATGAAATCAAGTCGGTCAAAAGCGTCTCGATTCGCCGAGATTAATGTACAGCGACGAAATTTGATTTACTCCGATTTCACGGGTTGTTGTTCATTGAAGTACAGCTGTCGTGACGCGATCGAAGTGCGGTAGTGACTCGCCGATTCGCTGTCGATCGAAGAAACTTCCTTTTTCGTGTGCGAGGGATCGGTGAAAGATGAATCTCGTGTTCTAAATGTTAATCTGGTAGATATTTATTTAAAATTGAAAATTTAGTATTAAACTGAAAAAATTGAAATTTGAAAATCAAATTTTGAAAAACCCTGCGTTCATGTTAAGGAAAGCAGTTCAACGTATATTTCTCTCTATTTGAACTGTGCAATTTTGATGACTGTTCTTATGAAATAGAATGATATCTAAATTTTTCAGCACCGGATTTGTTTTAAGTATTTATATATATATAATATATATAAATTTTCTGTGTTATAGAGATTTATTAACAAACGAAATTATACAACGTAATGAACATTCTTTATAGTCACTGTACGCTTGTTACTATTTTGCCAAGGTCGATTCCAAATAACAACGAATCAGCGAGACACTTCAGTAAAAAAAAACATAAAAAGAATTATGGTAAAACGTCACAGTAGTCGATCAATGAATCAAAATAAAATCAACGGTATGAAATGAAATTTGAAGACCGTCGACGATGGATCCGGTAGGACCAACGATCCAGATAATTCTCAAAGACGTCGGTGGCGACGCCCATATCGTAACAATACGCAACGTCCTCGGCAAAACTGAATCCGACACGTATCATGTGTGTATCATATATTTTTTGTGTTCAATTACTCGATTCCTGAAAAATCTCCCCTCTGTGGTGGTGCCGCTCGAAGTCCGTAAACCCGCGCGACGTTACATAGCTCTTATTCGACATTTACGTACGTGTACATACAGGGTGGTTCATAAATACATGACGATGCTTGCGGAGATGAATCTACACTAACGTAAGCAAAAAACGTCGAATGAAAATGTGTCCTGTGTACTTTAGTTTCGAGTAATGGATGATTATCTAATGCAGTTAGCATTGCATTTGGTATTTATCTCTTGACCTTTTCTAATACTCACAAACAATGTCCAACGATATAAAATAT